TGTATTTTGGGTTCTGTGTTTGCACGACAGGAAGATCTTGGAATTCAATGGGAGTTTTTTGATATTGTCTTTTTTCCTTGTTTTTTTGGGCTTTCACTTAACAGAGAAAACATGTTTTCTCTTTGGTCGGGTGGCCCCGGGACCATGATTTTTTTAATATTTCTGTTTTTGTTTATTTGAGAATAACACACTTATAAAGAATGAAAATTTAATTAAGCAAGAACGTGAGAACGATTGAGCGAGAGGATTTATCACCGATGACGCCCGTACACGCGGAGTATTAGTCGAAGAYTGTGAAAAATTATATTATTAATTATATGAGGGCTTGATTACGTTTTTACCCGATTTTATCAATATTGTGCACAAAGATACACTCTTATTAGTAAAACACACTCTCTCATTTCCATTGAAATGAAATTGGCTGATATATGCGGTATAAAGTCACTCGAAAATTCGAAAATCTTTATATTAAGTATAAGAGGGCTAAGGGAAGTATTGACCCGATTCGGCCATTTCTGACACTCAGACGTACTATAAGTATTCTTTACGGTTTTCAGGTTTATACTTCACACATTGACATCGGTCAATTTTGATTCGATTTGGAAAGTTCGAGTTATAGGATCGCGTTCAAAGGTATTATTCATGCAAACTTTTGTCCCTTCATATTAATTTGTACTGGGAAGTAGGCGTAGTTGTAATCTAATTTTCTACATTTTGATATTGTACCATAGGAATACATAACTAGAATACTACGTACCGCATTTGCTTCAAATTGGGTGAGTAAGTCTTGAGATATGGATTTCCTAAAAAAAGTGGGAAATACCATGTCATGCCTTTACTGATTTAACGCATTTCTAGTAGATTTTAACAAAACTTTACTATCGTAAGAAGTGTTGAAAAAGTTTCTCCTTTTCAAATATTGATAATAATTTGATGATCATAATTAATACATATATTAAACTTCTTAGAGGGCGAGGCCACGCCCATTTTTCACAGATTTCACTTTTGTATCTTAATTTACGGCTTAGTTATGGTTTTTTTTATAAGATTTAAATTAATGACGATTTGTTGACGTAGCCCAATACGATCTACAAACTCGTCCTTAGTTTTGTGCCAAGGAACATGTGTACTAAGTTTCACAATAATATCATAATATTTCCTCAAGTTACATTTTGCACAGACAGACGGTCAAACAGATTTGAACGCGTCTCGGCATCCCGATCATTTATGTTGGGTAGTCGAAAAAGTCTTTTCGTATTTCGAATCAAACTTCAACTTATTTTTTTTATACATATTTATAATAGTGAAAATGGCACATAACCATTTTGGTCAACCACTTTTTGCCATTTTTTCGGTAGAGGCATTATTCCATCAGTGTAAAACTTTCTTCAGTGTACATCGAAATTTCCAGAACGGAAGCTAGCGAACCATTGTTGTTCTACACGATCTGATGCAGCATCATTTCCGTAACCTCCGTAAGCTTGCGTGGTATTCTTCCCTTTTTTATACAAAAATTTCAAAATATAGCAAACTTCTTCACTATTTTCACTCATTTTAATTAAAATTACGTTTTAATTCTCCCCTTTCCAACACTATATGGTATGACAAAATATAACTGTTTCCACTGGAGGTATACGAATGCAACGACATCTATTGACAAAATACAAAATGACTACCCAATATATTAATATGTACATAATCCTATATCTATTGACAAAATACAAAAAGACTACCCAATATATAGTATATGTACATAATCCTATATCTATCTCGAATAGTTTTAGGTCAAACAAATAACTGTTAAATGAACAAAACTTTGTAGTCAGTAGCAACATATTGAAAGATTATAAAAAATTTGCAGTAGGTGACGCAATAAAACTAATAAATTAAATGAAAGGTACACATTACGACCTTGCATGCCATGTTGCATATTAATTCACAATTACTTACTGTGCCGATTATCGGTTTTTCTTGTTTTATTTAAAAAATTTTCAACTCGGCCACACAAATTTCATAATTCATCACATTAGTTCGAGAAGAGATAATTTAGAAGTGAACATACAAGTATACCGTTAGTAGAGTTCATCCTACAAGTATAGCTAAACTGTAAACTCAAAAATTATTCTACTGAGTGTATTGTTTGGTTTCGCACAAAATGTATTTTATATTAATCCCCCCAATTAGTGGCTATTCGTCAGTCAATAGTAGAAGCTGTAGCTTGATCAAAAATTTAGATATGTAATGAAACTTGGTATACTTGTGCACCATGGGAACGTTGGTATTATAGACGGAATTAGAGGGCTTCGGAAACTTGTAAAGAGCATTGACTAGTCTCCACAATATGATATAAGACCTTTATTGGGGATAAAGCGTGTAATGGTCAGGGCACCGCTCACCTTTAGGTTAATTCCCACAACCAGGACCTACTTGACTGATTTGAAGATACTGACTGTGTGAAACGTAGTGATRTGGCATTTCTTCACGAAAATATCTATCAATCTGTGAGGTATAGTTTAGAAATTCGGTCCATTCTTTCGAAATAATAATGTACCCTTTTACAAAGGATGGTTAAAACTTGGTTAGAAATTCTAAAACTCAATATAAGAATTTAAGACTTCCGGGTAACTTTAAACCGTATATATCGGTTAAAATGTAAAATGTAAAATATCAAAATGCTCAAATGAATAGGTTCATGATTTCAGAGGTAGGAATTTATCTATAATTCTTAAACAAGTTTTCCAATTTACATAATTTTTTTTCTTTCATTCTTAAATCATATAAAAATAAAATGCTGAAGAAAGTTTTTCAAAAACATTTTATTTATTCCTTATTTATTTTTTCTTCTGAAAGGTTAACAAAATCAATGATTTTTTTCCGTTCATCTGAATAGGTTCAACCCAAAAAAAAAAATAAAATTATATAAGTAACTTAAGACAATTTTCATATTTTTTCCAATTAGCTTATACTTAAGTACATTTCTTAAGTAATTTTTAATAAGTTTAATAATGAGTGAATCCGCCGTTTTTCCATATAACTTCAAATAAACGATCGGGAAGCGAGCTATAAACATTTTGCAGCATTTGCAGAGAAATTGTTGTCCAGGCCGTTTTAATTGCCGCAACTAAAATTGTTTTGTCATCAAATTACCTGCCTCTTTCATATACCTTGCGCGATAGCAATCCCCATACGTTTTCCATTATATTAAGGTCAGGTGAATATGGGAGCCATAAGAGCACGTCCACATTTTGAGCCTTAGTCCACTCTTTTACCACCCTAGCTGTATGACTATTGAATATGGTGGAGCGTTATCGTGCTGGTAAGTCCATTTGATAATGTGAAAAATATTTGAATAATGAGGAAACGCTGCCAGTATGATAGATTTGTAGGCTTCCACGTTCATTTTGAAAGTAACCCCCCACCATTACACTTTCCTCACAGCTATGGCAACGGCTTAGGAAATGCTCTTCCTTTCGTCCAGTTCATGTGCTTGCGCGCATAGAGCAGTTGGGAAGCTTTACTCGCATCATTTAACTGTGTTTTTTTTTTTTTTAAGTTTCATTTGTTTTAGATGATCAGCCGACGAAATCACACGTTTAMCTGTAGACACACTGGCTGCAATAAAGCAAATTTCTTTAATTTTGCGTCGGCTGAGATCACTTTTACGATAAGCTTCGATTTGACCTCTTTCATACTCGGATAATTGTTTTCCGCGATCCATTTTTCATTTAATTTAAACAAATATATGAAGTTAAAAATTTGTATCAAAAATGTGTCGCCACACCGCCAAGTTTAATCGCAAAAGAAAAACCTGTCAACTGAACCTATTCAGTTGAACTAAAAAATTGCACTGAAATTTGCGAAAGAAATAGCAAAACAGAATAAACAGAATATGCAAAGTAACTGTACTTAACAAAAGGTTCTTTACTGGCGCACACTGATTGACACAAATATAAAGTTTAACGTTTAAAAGAAAAAAAATGCGTATAATCAATATGTGATGAAAAAATCATGAAAATGCAAACGAAATTTATATGAATCTGTTCAGTTAATCGGCAGTGTATAATATTGGATATTAGAGATAACTTGATTTTCTTAGGTCGTATGACTGCCAATATTATATAATTTAACACTTAGACTATTTTCTGTGGGGTATTAAAGCAAATCAACCAGCAATGCTCTAGGAGTTTCAAAGCAATCGGCCCTATAGTCGAAGATATGCAAACGGARCAGTATCTACATAACAAAAAACAAAAAAACTCTCTAAATTTGAGTTTTTTATTTCATTTTGACAACACGTCGTTCTTGGTATTAGAACMTATATAGTTTAATGTAGAAAATGTGCTAAAAAGGTCAACGAAAACTTGTTTTTAAATAATTACGTGAAAACATGCTTTCGAATATATGCTATTTGAGTAAAGTCACAAGCAACACAACAGTTCACATCATCTCTATTTTTGACATGGTTATATATATGTATACTAGGGGCTCCGGCCACGTGTTGTTGCGGTATACATTTTATACCATCGGACTACAACCACGCCTACTTTCCATATTGCACAATTTTAAATGTGTGTGCCACTTAACGATCAAAAGCCATGTTTACTAAAAGCCRTTAAGCGAAAAATGTTAGCTGCCATTTCGCATGAAGGATCATAGTAGGGAGTGACATCAGTGCTTTCACCCACGTTTATTGAACATAGTATGTAGATATCTCACAAACTGTACTATATTAACATGTTAGCATATGGTATGGAAATGCTCAATCATATACATTTGTGTGTAGCAATACATAGTTAACGTAATGAACTTAGTCGATTTAGCCATGTTAGTCTATATAACATAAGCGAACTCGGCTCTTATAAATAACTTTTTAAATTTCTTACTGGCGTAAATTACCGTTTTAACAAATTTGACGAAGCATTTACCACATATTTAAAGAAAACTTAAACAAATATATTAAATACTATACCATAAATAACAATACAATTAATTTATTTTAGAACAAATTCCAGCGAAAGTAGTATCACTTCACCTAATACCTTAGGATCTTCAACAATGGCAAATCCCTACGCGATGGGTTCACTATATCACAGTCCAGGAGTCCAAAGTTATTGCGGGCCAGCAGATAATCTTTCATTAGCAGGACATTATTCTGATATGAGAAGTTCTGCGTCTTGGTATGGATCTACAACGAATGATCCCAGATTTGCCAGTAAGTCATCTTATTGTTCATTATCTATTAAGTCATAACCATTAAAATAATGTCAAACGTCAAATTTGAAGTTTTCATGTATCATGTCAGTTGTACTTTTACCGTAAGTGATGATGACTATTACGATGAAAATATATATACAAATAAAGATAAAACAATATAAGGACTATCCCGTAAAAAATGTATCCTTCGGTTTTCATTAATAACAAGAAAACCAAAGAATTTTTTCAAAGTCTTGTTTTATTTCTTATTAATGAGTACTATAGAGATTACAAATTATAAATAACATTTAACAAATTTTTATTTTCTGTAAAAATTTCTTACTTTTTTCTTAAGGCCCTTCATTATATTTTGTACAGTGTTTTCATCGATAGTACCGTACGACCATCGCCACTTACTTCTAAAATCTTGTAAATTTTTTGCAGTACCTTTACTCTTCCGGAGATTCGATTTCATTAGAGCCCAATAGGTCGAAACTCTGGGCAATTAGGTGGATTCGCTTTTCTTGGAACAATATTGACATTATTGCTTTCATCCCACTCCATGGTAGCTGTAGAATAGTGAGCGGTTGCTAAATCAGGCCAGAACATTACAGTACGCGCATAAATGGCAAAAGACGTTTTTGAAGACACTCGCTAATATAAACGTTTGAATTGATTGTACCCTGTGTTACAAAAAAACTGCTTCTCAAACCGCAAGTACATATCGCTTGCCAAACCATATACTGCTTGGCAAATTTGGTAATTTTGTTTTCCTTAAATTTTCTCTGTACTTGCCCCTTCTTCATACAGGTATAATATTCGTACCCCGTTAACTGTTTCAAATCTGCCTTAACGTAGGTTTCGTCGTCCATCACGCAACAGTCAAATTTTGTTAGGTATCCTTCATACAAATTTCGAGTTCGTTTTTGAGCAACCAATTGCTTTTCATCGGAACGATCTGGCACTCTTCGAACTCTATATGTCTTTAGCTTACCATCACTCTTTATCCTTTCTTTATCTCCTACTGAAGTGTTGGGATTCTGCTTAAAAACTTCCTTCACTCTTTYTGCCAAATTTCCTTCTGCACCTGCTTTTCTACCAGAACCTTTTTTTCGTATAGTAGGTACACCCTTTTTGTAATTCGAAACAACCCTTTTAACAGTACTTTCCGATGCTCCAGTTTTTTTAGCTATAACTGAATATTTTAAATATGGATTTTCAGGTAACTGGACAAAACCAATTCGCGCAATTTTTCTTGATTGCTAGACATCTTAATAGTTTGAAGTGTTGACACCAAATGTTATACATTTTGTTAATCGTCAGATTATAGAGAAAAAAAACAAGTCCCCATTGATATGCCATGAACAGTTACGTCATAATCTTAAGGAATAAAAGGGTCAATTTTTTACGGGACAGTCCATATCTTTATAGTAGAAGATCGATAAACATGATTCAAAGCTTCTTATACATATATCACCAGATAGCAAAGTGTCTTTTGCACTTAGTTCCACTGGGTATGTGGGGGTATACTTACGCTGACTTTTAATTATGTATCCCTTTTTGTTTTACTTAAATGAAAAATTTTTATTTTTTGGAAAATAAAAATTCAGCAATTTTTTGAGGGAAAAACTTCAATATTTTAACACAATTTTATATTGTTATTAAACTGTGCACTGCTGCTGCTACTGCACAACCACACACGAGATCGGAAGGAGATTCCAAATTTGAACCACAAATTCAAACCAAAATTGAACGTGCGAATTGAAGAGCTGGCGAAACTTATCGTATACGGGCGTAAATCGAATAGTGTCCATCCCGATCTATCCAATCCTTTTTGATCGATTAGGTGGTGAAAACGATAACGTATGGTGTGTGTGTAGTGTGGTTGGTTTGTTGCGTGGGGTTGCGTGTATGATAATGTAGGTTGGGTGCTGACTGTTGTGTTGTGTGATGAGTATGAGTTGGGTGATGAATGTTGGGTTGTATGCCGAATGTGGTGTGGTGAATGTTGTGTCGTGTGCTGAATGTGGTGTGTCGTGATGAAGTTTGTGTTGAGGGCCCCCCTAGGCAAATTAATTACCTAGAAGCCGCTGCAGTTTCTGTAAGGTGCTCACTACAGCGCTGAAACCCGTCGCCTTTCGCTGGTTGCGATGGTTACGATGTGGTGGTGTCTGCGAACGTGCACCTCGAGACGGTTTAGAGCGATGGGCTCTTCGGCGTTGAACTTGATCTCTATGCCGCTGTTGGCGATGCCGGTGACTGGCGTGCGTTGACGGAGCAGCGCGTCGAAGAAAGCGGTGAAATAATGTATGATGCGGTCGGTGGCAGTACTGACACGACCTGTCTGACATGCACTCCAACGTAGCGTGCGTGTCTGCCAAGCATGTCATGCAGTGGCCGTGGGCTCTAGCGATCTGTTGGYGCTGAGCGGGCGTCATCGTCTTGAAAATCATACACTTCTTCAGGAAATGGGGTCGATGGCACAGGCTGCATCGGGGCGGTACATACTCCTCGAACTGCTCCTCGCCGACTGGTTGACCGGATGATGCAGCGGATGTTGCATTTGCAGTAATTGCGGACCTCACCGATTGGAGGTTACGGCGGATTTCTTCTACGTCCATTTCTAGTGGAATACGTATATGTATATTAAACATGGTTTTGCTAGTAGAATGAAGTATGCTACATAATATATATGTGTATATATATAGATATATGTATTATATCTTTATTTGATACTTTTAATTATATGTTTTATTTATTATTTATATATATGGATTTTGTTGTTTATTATAAATCGCGTTCATTACATTTTTGGTTAGTAAGGACGGATTGTAAAACGGGGTATTTTTAATTAAATATTGCTTGATTTTATGTATGCGTTTGCGTTCGCTTGCTTTCGGTGATCGGTTCTTCAGTATTTGGAAGGAACACAATTTCACTAGTGGTCGAGTTAGTAAGCCAGTTTGTGTTCGTACATCTACTACTCTTATTTGACCATCTCGTCCCCGATGTACCTTTTCAATGCGAATGCATTCGTCCTTTATGATGACGCATTCGCATGTATTGGGTTCCTTCTGGATCGTTTTGCATCGATATCTCTTATGGAGATCTTTAAGATCGTCCTCCTTCCATCTGTGGCTAAATTCATGATGGAGAATCTTGATTCTTTCCCATCGATTTATTACAGTGAGTGAGTCTCCTTCTGTCTCAGGTATGGCGAGAAGGGGAGCTTCTATGAGGAAGTGTCCAGGTGTAAGAGCTGTGAACTCGGAGGGATCTTGCGAGAGTGGTGATATAGGTCTTGAATTTAATATGGCTTCGATACGAGTGAGTAGTGTCGTAAACTCCTCATAAATTATGATTACCAGACGTTTTCTTTAAATGGGACTTAAAGCTTTTTACTGCTGATTCCCAAAGTCCCCCCATGTGGTGGAGAACATGGGGGTATAAACTGCCAATCGATCCCTTGGGGTGAATATTTTTTAACAATTTCAGGGGATACTTCTTTCATGAAGTTTATGAACTCTTTCTCGGTGGCTCTTTGAGCTCCGATAAAGTTTTTTCCATTATCGCTCATAATCATGGAGGGAAATCCGCGTCGTCCGACAAAGCGTGCAAATGCTGCGAGAAAAGCCGCAATTTTCAGATCTGAACAAAGTTCGAGGTGTACTGCCTTTGTCGTAAAACATACAAATACATCCACATACCCTTTTCTAAATGAAGAGGACCTTAAYATCGAGGCCTTAATCTGAAAAGGTGAAGCAAAATCAACCCCAGTAATAGTAAAGGGTAGAGCATAATTGCAGCGTTCAGGTGGTAAAGCTGCCATGATCTGCGTAATTTTATGTTTGTACAAGGTACATTGTTTACAGATAAAAATCGTCTTTTTAAGTTGTGGCTTTAGTCGCGGTATATACCATGTAGTGTAAGCTGATGAAGATATATTAAGAATAAATGAGTAAAACGGGATTTCTCAGGTATAATAAAGGGATGCCGTTCGTTGTAACTGAACCTGGAATTGGCTAATCTTCCATTTGCTCTTATTAATCCCTTAGTGTCCAAGAATGGATTTAAGACGGGAAGAGAGATTCCCTTTTCGAGTGGTCGCCTTTCGACCAACTTTGCTTTYTCTCGACTGAAATAGCGATTTTGGGTGTAGGTAATGAGAYTAACTTTGGCATGTTGCAAATCGGTATGCGTTAGTTGTACGCAAGTATCATTAATTTTTTGTTTAAGTCTTTGCGTGAATTTGTGCATGTAAGCGACTACTCTTAGTGCTCTAGAAAATGAAGAAAAATTATATTACGAGCGGGAGACTTTGGCCAGAATTCTTGTTGTTCTGTTAGCCATGTTGGACCATTCCACCAAAGTGTAGTGCTGGTGAGGTGCAGTGGCTTGAAACCTCTTGTCCCAAGATCCGCTGAGTTATCCGCACTTGCAACATGTTGCCATTTTGCTGGGCCAACTAAGTCTAAAATTTGGGATATTCGGTTAGATACATAGGTCTYCCAGCATTAGGGTGGTTTTTCTAACCACGCTAAACTATTTCTGATGGGTTTGAACTATTGAAATTAATTTAGCTAACAATAGAGCACCATTCAGTTCAAGCCGTGTCAGGCCGAGTGTCTTCAAAGGTGCAACTTTGGCATCACAGAAACCGTGTAATTCTATGTTAATGTTAGGGGTGAAATTTACCCATCGAGGGATTCGAATTTGTGTTATAGTATGCAAATTATTAGCAAATTGTAGCTATTTTGTTAAACGTACAGGTTTTACCTGTTCATCTCATTCAGTGCCATTTTGTCACAATTCTTGAATGAAGATTTTTGCTGGAATCGTTATTGGTGAAAGCCATCCTGCGGGGTCGAAAAGTTTTGCCACCGAGGAAAGTATTTGGCGTTTGGTTATGGCGGRCAKTGCAGATATTGACTCAATTGTATATGAGAATTGATCTGTTATCGCATTCCATTGAATCTCTAGGGTTTTTGTTGTACTGGCCGTTTCAAATTTGAGGAAATT